GGTGGTGGTGGCGCCGTCCCGCGCCGGCGTGGACGAGGAGGAGGAGGCCCGCGAGGAGACGCCCGAGGACCGGGAAATCCGCAGGGAGCTGGAGAAGAAAAGGTAGCGGGGTTTGGTGGGGGGGGAGGCACGGCCCGACGGGGCGCCCAGGCCTCTCTCCTCGCCGCTTTGGAACCCCAGGGGCGGCCGGGCCTGGGCCTGGGCCGGGTAGGGTAGGGGGAGTGCTGCTCCACTTCCCTCCGCCTCTTTTGCCAGGGAGATCGACGTCCTCTGGACCTTGAAGTCGGGCGCGTCTACGGAAAGCTCTGCCGATGAGCCGTTTGTGTGCTCTAAGTTTATAGTAGCGATAGGACATAACGCTGCAGGTAGGTGATGCAAACTGCAAAAACAGACTGTCCGAGAGGCTGAAACGCTGTTGTTCTTTGCTGTTGGTGAAATTTGAGAAAGCAGGAGGTTGGACGAAAGTGTGTGTCAGCACGCTCACTTTGCCATAAACTGTTTTAACGTTGGCCTCTGCTATAAGAATGGTCCTTAAGAGCGTCCAGCTCTTCATTTAGGGAGTGGAGTTTTAAGCCTGAGACAGAAAACCAAAGTCAGTCTGTACATGTAAAACACAGTTTTTGTTACAGCTGCTTATTCCTCCTATCACATTGTCATGAAACATATTTTCAGTTGAAGGGTAAAAGCAAAGTATGTTTTGGTTTTGGATTTTACTTGGGACAACCACCCTTTTCCTTTTTCTGACTTTTGTTTGATAGACTCTCCTGGATTGACAGTTGGCAGAAGTTTCCTTCTAAGAGCAAGTTGCTCAGTGCAGTCTAGTGAAATAGAGATCTGCCAAAGATGTAAAATTATGGGTCAGTGAGCTGTAATTTCTTTAATTTCTAATGAATTGAATTATTCCTGTTTTACTTGATCCAGTCAATCCTTTTTTCACATTCGTGGAGTCCCCATCCCTGGAGGTGTTTAAGAAGTAGGGTCGATTTTAGGGCTTAAGGACATGGTGTAGTTGGGAACTGTCAGTGCTAGGTTAACGGTTGGACTGGATGATCTTCAAGGTCCTTTCCAACCTATGTGATTCAGTGATTCTGTAATTCCCCATTTGTCCAAAATGCTCTGTTTTGAGGCTTATGTTTAGGTCACATCTAGATGGCATTTAGATAATATCTAAGTTAACTTTGCTAACTTTTTTCTTTGTTCAGATTTTTCCTTGATATTTTAGATCTATGTTCTGTTTAACAGTATCTTTTGACAGGAATTTGATTTATGAACATTTGATTTAGGGGAAGTCATGCATACTCTTGTGTCTGCTTCTTAGAGACAGTATAATAGTTTTGCCTTGCTGGGTCAGTGATTTTTTTTTTTTTTTTTTGAGAAAACTGTTATATCTGCTATGTCAAGAAGTATTAGAGATTTAATATTTACGTCTTTAGTGTACACTAAAGGAATCAAAGTTGACCATAGTGATATAATTTCTAAGAATACATGCTTTGTTGGGGATCTCTATATGTAGAACTGCTCTTTATCTTTTAGGTCTTGATACAGTGAGGTTACTCACATTCTTGATCTTTGCTGAATTTAGTCAATAAATGTATGTTGATAAAAGTAAATTACTACTTTTTTTTTAAACTTGAGATTGCAAAGAAATAGTGTAATTCAGGTATTTATTTGTAGAACAGATATTTTTATTCTTTGTAAATTAACAGTATTTATTGTTTTTTTGCAGCTTTCCTGTCTTCTTTTATTCTGGATTCTATATGTTGGGAAGTAGTTGGAGTTGTGAAGTTGTGGAATGAGTGGTGTCGAACATCCAACACAACAAATGTCCTCCCGACAGATTCGTTCTGTTTGTTCTACCGATTAATATCAGATCCGACAGTAAGTGACTTATGCTTTAATTCTGCTATATTTTACATTTCTGAGAGAGAGCGCACACTTCATCCACCCCGTACCCTGCCCAGGGCAAACAAACCATTAAGGCTTGCAGTATTGTGGATTATTCTCATAAAAAATCTGAAGGGTCATTATGCTCACTAAAACTATTTGAAGTTCTGACATGTGAAGTTCAGTACTGAGAAGATGCGTGACAGCCTGACTGCTTCACATCAGTTGTGAATGAAAAAATGTTGTTAAAATAGAGTTGAAGAAGCCCAGGAAAGTTGAACAAGTTGTTGACTGTAGTCACATTATCCTTACACATGGCCATGAGCTGTTGTGCACTTCAAACTACTTGCATATGCATCATCTTGTTTTTGTTTTTTTTTAAAGGTTTTGTTGTGCCAGTGTAGTTGCTATGTTGCTGAGGATCAACAGTTCCAGTGGCTTGAAAAGGTAAAACAACCAACTAATTTGAACAATGAAATTTTAGGGGTGGGGATCTGTGTCTAAGTGCCTCTTCCTCTCTGATAGTTTAAACATGACAGCATTGTAAGTTTTTTGCCTGTGGCTTTCTTTTCTTAAATACGAGTGGACAAATTTACTGTCAGCAGATTCTGTGAAATTCCTTTGTAGATGTTGCCAGTTGTATCTGCTGTAACTTACCAACTTTGTGCAGTTATATCTTTTGGAGAGTTTCAATTTTGTTGCTCTTAACTACTTGCCAAACCTTTTTCCTGCTTGGCTTAAATTTTCTATGGCTTATTTCAGCTGCCTTTCAGCTCTGGGAGAATCCTTCCTTAAAAAACAATAACATAACTGCATTTGTATGTATGGCAAAGGATCACCAAACCTGTTGTGAAACTGATGATGGATGGTATCTTTACTAATGGGTGTGTTCTGTTCCTTTCACAAGGAGGAGCTCTGAAGGGAAGTGCCTTCAAAGCAGTATCTGTCCTATTTGTTCATAGACTTAGTATGCTAAGTGCCTTACCCCAGCATCATGCAGGTCCCTCCAGATTGTAATAAGATAAAGTCGGGGTGGGGGGAATATTCTGGCTATTGATTTTCGTTATGGATTTGGGTTCTGATTAGCCACAAGGTGTGGCTTATTTTGTCTAGCTGCCTGTCTGCTAACCTGCTTTCCTTTAAACCTCTGCTGATACGATCAACAAGCAGAGATTTATTACGTTACACTGAAGTTGTGTAGGGCTGTGGCTAGAGATACAGAGAGTGAGATAAAAAGCAGTGTGTCCACTGAGAGCAAGTCTGTAGTCTGAGCTGAGTGATACCTGCTCAGTCTAGTGTGCCAGCTGGCCCAGCCAGCACATGACAAGGATTACTTGTTTGTGAGGGAGAACTGTACAAGCATCTCCGAGTGAGGGAGCCAGAAGGATTATGGGAGGGCACAGAAGAAGGAAAACCAGGGTGACTTCACTGAATGATACAGGGTTTTCAGGCCCAAGTTTGTGAAAAACTATCCTTTTGTGGTTCCTCGGCTTCTGGAGTTTAATTCTTTTTGCTTCACTGTGAAGTTTAGAAACCCTGAAACCTAAAACATTATGGTTTTGTTGTGTTCCACGCATTCTTGCACTTCATTTAAACTGGGATTACAAAAGAAACATGATCATGGTTTTACTGTCTTCCTCATTTCTGTTCTTACAGCTGTTTGTGAGTATGTGTTATTTCAAATGTGGGTGTTCACGAGCAGTAGGAGTGTATGTACAGTGTTACCAAGTCAAATGTTCTTGAGTATTTTTAGACTTAGTGGTTATTGGTATTTCTAAATGTACAGCAGAAACACTGTGCTGGTTGGTAATCTTTTGCTTTAGTGTGAGTTACAGACGTGTTCTTTATGCTTCATAAATTCTGATTCACTGAGCATCTTCACAGTCTCCGTGAGTCAGATTTTTACTTCTGTATGCTTTCTCAGTAAGCAATCACTGGCAAAATGAGAATATACAGCCTAAAGTTTTGCAGTAATGCATACCAGACAGTGTTTCCAACAGATTAAATTGAAGATACGTGTGCTTCTGAAAAGTTACGTATCAGTTTTATATTACAATGGTAACACACTAATGTGAGGGAACAGTCAGCTTCCCTTCTGTGATTGGTACCATATACAGAAACAGATGAGTTTCTGTAATGTTTACCAAATTCCCTGTTTCCTTATTGATCATAAATCTGAAGAGGACAATATAAAGGGAAGGTGCAGGTTTATCATGCTTCTGCTCATTTTGACATACGTTCTATAAAAACAGTGGAACACTGCGCAGCGTGTTTTGTGACACTGCACAGTGTTCCACTGTTTTGTGATGGTATGCAGTGGCTTCAAAAGTATGTTTGTGCAATGTTTTTGAAACTCTTATCTTTGAATTTGAGAAGGACCATGGAAAAATTAAGGATCTCTTTCTCAATTCAACTTGAACATAATTAAATAAAATCTGAGTATTTAAACTTAAGACTCTTTTTAAGTACTGTAGAACATCTAGAGAGCGCACTTTCAATTTTGAATGTCTTGTAGTTTAGCAAGCTGTCATCTTGTCATAAGCAGCCTGATTTTGTTTGGAGTCCTTCTTTGTTCTACTGTCACCATTAGTAAAAATAGTAAGTCTTAATATATTTGCAGGTGAAATGAGACTGGTGAAAACCTAAAGCCTCTCAAGAAAATCAGCAGACTTGCTAAATATGTTAACAGTTCTTTTGGGTTTTTTATCTCCATCCCAAGTGCAATGCATGTGAAATTTCTACCTGAATGTTGTGATTCAAATTCTAGATAGTCCTGCAAACCTGAATTAAACTGTCATTTGCCATCTGCACTGAAATGGAAAATGAATCTTTGTGGTTTTATGCTGTTACTGTGAAAAGATAAATTTTGCTTATGTGTTAACATTTCTATTTCAGGTTTTTGGCCGTATGCGAAGGGAGGACTTGCAAGTAACCATTCTTTCAACGTGTCCTGTAGCTGATTATAAAACTCAGGAATCCACTTTAACACTTCCATCTCCATTTCTGAAAGCCTTGAGGACAAAAGAATTCAAAGAGCAGGTCTGCTGCCCACTGCTGGAACAACCAAACATCGTGCGAGATCTTCCTGCTGCTGGTATTTTGCAATTCCAGTTATTTACAAGTCTGCTGGTGACAACACAGAATTCACTTTGAAAGGCTTCCCATTGCAGTTAGAATTTTTACTTAATAGTGTGAACTGGCTAACAAGTTAGCTTTTTGAAAATTAATTCCTAACAGCTTGACATCTTACATGTTGTCTCATAAAATAGGGACAAATTTCAAAACCACCCCCAAATCCTTTTACCCCTTATGTGTGGGACATAAGTAAGAGCAAATTCTTCGGTATAGCCTTACAAAGCTTGTTGTATATTGGGATTTTAGGACATTTTACTTATGAGCTAAGTATGTTTTATTGAGAGTTCTTTTCATCTGGGCAACCAGACTGAGGTTTATAAAGTCCTTTTTGCATATTACAGGTAAAGTAGGTTTCACAGTGCTGATGATAAATCTTGTGTAAAAGTTAGATTCAGCTTTATTACGTAATGCGATAAAAACTGCAAGGCTTTTCATTATAGAGTACCAAATTAGTGGTATCATCACGAGGAAACTTGTCTGGCAGGAGCTAAAAGTGTGTGATTTTTCTAGAAAAAGTTTATCTTATTCACAGTTTGTTTTGAGTTTTTATGTTTGATTGGTTTTCAGTTGGTTATTTTTATTTTTTTACAGATGCCCATATTAGTTTTGTTTACCAAGATTATAGTTTCCAGTTAAGATACTTGAGAGGAAGAAATAATAACTGCATTTTACTAATTTTTGGTGGCTTATTTTCTAGTGTACCTGGGAAATGAGGGATGGCTGGTCTAGCATTCAGGATTCCAAGTAGACAATTATAAACTTCCATACTTTTGAAGTTCTGGCCAGAAAAAAAATGTGATTCTATACACAGAACTGAGATTTCCTTCTCTGCTGAATGTAACACACATTTTCTTCTGACTTGTATTTAGTTTTGAGTTATTGTCAAGTATGGCAGATTCCTGCAGTGTTGTATCAGTGTTACACTGATATTATCAAACTGGACACGGTTACAATTGAAGCATTCAAGCCTCTGCTTTCTTCTACAACCCTGAAGAGTTTAGTCAAGGTAAAATTCCATATTTAAAAATTAATAGGAGGTTTGGTCTATTTTTGTCTGTCTTTCATCTCTTGCATTCTGATGTTTATGTGCCCCTATGAGGATTTCACCTGAAAAGGCAGAAAAATACAGACTTTAATGACAGGACAGTGATTTCTGGTACAATACCTGCTGTAACATCTGTAAGTTGCTTAGAAATAATAAATCTACAGCTTCCCTCAAAACTTCATTTTGACGTTTCAGGCTCTTGGGGTGGTATTAGTGTATCAGGGTGTGATTTCTTTTGGTTGTTTAAGCTGCAGTTTCCTTTGGAGGTGTCTCGTGTTAAAACCTTTTAAGTTTGGTTGTTTGGGGTTTTTTTACATTCATATGCAAGATGGCTCTATATCTGCCTGTCATGTGCCATACATGAAGGCTTGTTAAGAAATTTATTTTGACCTATAACTTCTTTCTGGAATTAAAAGACAGAATTTCTAAAGATGATTCTTAGCTGTTTGATTAGTGCCACACTGTTGTGAAATCATGACATTATAGATACTAAGGTGAATGTTTTGCTTCTTTCTGAAACGTTTTTAATTGAAGTGTAGTTGGTTCAAAACACTCCTCAGTTTTGCCAATTGAACTTAAATTTAAATGGCAGAAGAGGTTTGTGTGTATTGAAGTATTTATTTCAGCTTTAAATGTCGAAATCGCGATTTAGTTTTCATTACAGCTTACGCTGGTCTGCTAAATAAGTGTAACAGACTACTCTGTAGATGTTTAAACTGGTGGAAAACAACAGCAACTATGCAAGCTCTTCCTCTCATATACAAGCAAGGAAGAATGAAGTTAACAAATCCCATTTTGTGGTTGAACTGCAAATTCATTTGGAGCCCTTAGCAGGTCTCTGAACCTGAGCTTTGCTCACAGTTAACACTTTAATCAAACTGATACTTAGAGTGATAAAAATTGGAGTAGAGGACAGTGAAGCTTTTTTGGTTTGTTTTGTAACCAGCAGTGTAGCTAATGCTGATAATCTCTTCCTTTTCCTAGGATGTATCTGAAAGCACAAAGATTTTGAAGAAGTTACTGACAACCAACGAGACTCACAATAATATCTATATCTAAAAAGGACATTTTTGACGCAGACTGCACTTTTGTAAACTCTGGTTTCTTCTGTAAAGGACATTTTGGAATTGTAGTTGTTTCCTTAAAAGTGGAATAAACTCCAGTAGATTTTTACTTCTGCACTCATTTTTGTTACTTTCAAATTCATCACTACAGACACATGTATTTCTTCTGCATGGCTTGGGAGACTGTCCTCTGGAGTGATTTTAGGAAAGATATCTTGAGTATGAAAAGCAACTTCTTTTTCTCCTCCTGAAGGGATTGTTTTATCTAATGTATCCTTTTTGTATGCAAAAGAGGAAACACAGTTAAGGAATTCTGTCTGTATCTTATGAGAACACCTATTTTTTACTTCATTTTGAGACAAATGTTTTTCTAATACTCGATCCTCTTTAACGATGTGTCTGTGTTCTCTGCACCTTTTTACATACAGATACACAATTTGTGTGTGTGTGTGTATGAATGATACATATATATGTATGTGTGCACATTTTTTAATATATGTGTTGATCCAAAATATATTAAGTAAAGTATGGTAACTAGTTTTGAAAGACTTACTGGTGGAAAATAAGCTTGTTTCACAGGTTAGTAGGAAGCAAGAATGTGGAGCTGTTTTGAACTGCATGGAGGGGCTGTGACTTGTATTCACTGAGTAGATCATCACAGGATGCTGCTGCCTGCACATCTGGCAGGAAGAGAGAGGTGCCCACATTCAGGTGCTGCAGCTCCCATTTGCAGTGCCTGGCCGAGAGCTCATCTTTGTGGCAGTTTCAGCTTCATACCTTCAGCAGGAGCTGTAGAGGCACAGGAGCATTCCCTGCTGTCAGATCTCTGACACTGGTGGGAACCTCTCCCAGTGAAATAGGGGTGCTAGGCTCACAAGCTGCTTCAGATGGATTTGCCAGGTCAAGCTGATTTAATCTATTCACTTTAAAACTCCAAATTGCTGGCAACAGTAGGAATGGTACAAGACCTCTTATGCAGAGTATGTGATTTTTAGGGAAAAGTTCAAGTATTAAAGTGTCTCAAAAAATGACCTGAAAATCGGTAACAATTTCAGCAGTATATTTAAAATATTCTTGTATATAACCTCTGTTTAATTTAACATTTTGTATAAGAATGGTGTTAAAGATAGTGTTTTGTTTGCTACCAGGTAATTTGCTGGTGGTGTCACTGCACAAAGATGTTTAAAGTGCCCGTAGCTTATCCTTTTGGAACAAAAGGTTAGCAGCTTCAAAATTCTCCACCAGGTTTAACTTTGACTTGCGCTGGATGCCGGGTGGACATTTTTGAACAGTGTATTCCTTTCACAGAACTGTCATCCCTTCAGGTTTGAAAGTGATTGGCTTAGTCAACATTCACTGAAGCAAGTAGCCCCTGGCTTCAGCAGGCCCACTACAACTTCTGGTTTTGGAAGTTAACTGTACAAGTACATTGCAGTTTCAACGGTAGTAGAATATTCTTGATGTGGATATCAAGTTGCATATCAGTTAAGACATTGATTTAAATTGCTTTAAGGAGTACTGTATTTTGGAACAAACTCTGAAGCATGAAGTGCAGGACATGGTACCTTCTGGGCTTTTTGTCTGTTTCTCTGCAGCATTTCAATTAAAACCTGTTTGTGTGATGTGAGCTGAGAATTCTGTTTCTCTGAAAAACCTGCACATTGGCTACACCATTTTCTTGCATACTGAACATGTTTGATTCATAATAAAGTATATAACAAGAAATATGTAATAATAAATATGCAGGCTCTTACGGGAACTGTAAACAAGCTTCTAGTATTGGTTTTATCTCCCATGCAGTTTCCTACCTGGGTTTATGATGAAGTGTGAGAATACTCTTAAACACCTTGAATAGAAGTGGCAAACAAAACGCTAGCAACTTGAAAGATTAAATTAGAAAGACTGAAAGCTGATGCATTGGCAGATTGCTCCAAAGGCTAATTATTCTTGCTTCAAAGGGCGTGGTGGCTGCGTAGCTGGAAATGTTTAGATAGGATGGTGGTGTTTTTCTGATGGATACTGTTGAGCTATTAGTTTCACCCCGTGCATTCAGGTATATTTCTGTGATCCACATTACAGATGAGGTCAAGCTTTGTGCAGTAGTAGCTCTCTGGTATGAAACTGTATAGGTCAGGGCATGGGCACACTGTATAGTAAGACGACTAGTGTTAGCTAGGTTGTGGTGTATAAATTTGAAATGTCAACCTCTTCCAGTACATAGTAAGTACTATAGGGCAGTGAAAGAAGGAATTCTAATTTAAAATTGCTTCTATCTTTTTTCCATAATTTGATAAATGAAGTAGCTCATATTCCTCTCCTTAAAATAAATAGTTCTGGAAGCATCGGAAATAATGGTGTCTGAGTATCTCATAAGATGTGAGTGTTGGCTGAAGATTTTTTCATATTTGAACATTGCTAAGTTGCTTGTTTTCTTTATCTTCTATGCTCTCCAGTATCTAGTAGGAGCCTGCAATAAGGTTTTCTTTGTTTCTAACATCTGCTGTTTTTTTAATACGTGTAGGAGTGTATAAACTTAAAACTCTTGTCAAATGTAGCAGATGGCTTCAAAAGCTTTGGGGAAAGAAGTACATACTTGCCTGCATGTCTGAAATGTGATTGTATAAGACTTGTTAAGGTATTGGGCTAAATGCATATAATGAAACCAGATCGAATAAACTATTAGGCAAAGAGATTTATTTTTTTCAGTTTTCAAATCATCTAAGCCACTTGCTACCCATTTTTTTTCAGATAACACCAAGCTGTCTTCCATTGAAGAATGTTGCCTTCCAAACCAAGGACACAATCTCTTATCAAGTCTAATCTACTTTATCATGCTGCAGAATGTATGTGGTAGGCAGACATGTTCTCTATTTCCTTGAAGGCTCTGACTCAAAGATAACATGCCTGACCCCATCTTAATGAGCTCTTTAGTGAGGCTCCTTAGATTTTGCCTTCTAACATGTTGGTGTCAGTGCAGTTCAGGTCACAGGTATATGAATACAGGACTGTACAGACATCGTTCGAAGGTGATGTCCAAGCCAGGAAATCTGGGGTTTACTTGAATTCATTACAAAACCTCCACATTTGAATGCACAAACCAGCAATATACCTGCTGTTCTGCTTTCATTTTCCCTGTGATCACATAGAACGCAGTGATTCTTCAGTAATAAAATTCTTGCAGTCTTTTGAAAATCCATCATGAAAACATTATGCCCTGCTCTGCTTTTTGAGCACTTCTCTATCCCATTATGTTCCTTCTGTATTTGACATGACATAACTCCTTCCTGTACAGTTTCTCCTTGCTGTGTGCCATCAGTAGAAACACTGGTACCATGCACAAAAGCATGAACCCGAATGTTCCTGTTGGAGCCCAAGCCTTTTGTGGCCCTAAAGCAGTTGGAGCTCACATCTGAAGGTTGCTTTCGGTGACTGCCTGCTTCCTGTCCAGTAATGTGCTCCCTGAACCTTGTTCATCTACCTCTGTGTTCCTCATGTATGTGGAGGAAAGTTAAAGGTTGAATAGCAGGTTATAGTCTCAAATTTTTTACTTTCAAATAATTCTATAACTAAATGTTTAAATGTTCTTTGTATGGTGTGTTATGTACTTGCCTGGGTAATTGCTTTGAAGCAGAAAATGTTTTGTAGGAATAGTGATGTACCTTCAAAGGGCAGTTTCTTAAGAATCTACTAAACAGACCATGTGTTCTTCCCTTGTGTTGTAATCAGAGGATTACAGTGTGCTTTCATACGCTAAAACCATTATACTTCTTATGTTCAGGATTGATATTTGAATTCTTCTGTTAGATCTGATTTGGACTTTGATCTCTTTTCATGGTGTACTGAAATGAAAGCCATCTTTTCTCCATCAGCTCTGTAGACTTTAAAGCCAATCTGCTGCTTCAGAGAGAGTTAACAAAAGGGGGAATGGCCAAAATAGTCACAATCACTAAAAGCTGCAATTTGATTACTGAACAGATGAATGGTGAATGTACAGCCTGGCTTAAAAATAATAAAACTTGTTGGTAGAAAGGTTGTAGCTGGAAGGTTGTATGAGAACAGAGGCACCCAGTATGGAAAGGTAAGAGCACAGTAGTACTGTGCACAACCTTAGCACTGACCATCCTATAAAATTCAGGTTTGAGATGGTTGTGAAATAAAAGTAGTTTTTAAGGTGGGTTAGTTTATTCCCTTTTGGCCTGAGTAACATTCTCACAGGTCACAAAGAATGCCTTTGTGCTGCTCCGTTTAACTTGCTTCCAAATTGGATTGAAAAACATATTTTTTGCACAGAATAATAAGCACAGTGAGCTTAAACCCTGGAGGACACTTTCAAGAAACCCTGCGGATGGTGTCAGAAACAAGCAGTTCTTTTGTTCATTACTTAGAAAGTGCTGGTGCAATACTCTTCAACATGAAGTCAGAATGTCAAGTTGTTGGGTTTTTTTTTCCAAGCAGTAGAAAGCAAGCACATTTGAGATAACCTTTTAGTGCCAAGTGTGAGGTAATGCTCTGCAATAGTGGGTTCCACAGCACCTGCCATTATAGTTTTTACTTTATGCTCTTCCGCTTCTCTGTGAGCTCTCTGAGAGTGTATGTGAGGAATATTTAATTTTAATAACAATTGAAACCTATTCGATATTATAAAACAAAATATAGTTAAATCTGTGGAATTTTTATAAATAGCCTTGTACCCAGGTGTTGTGGTAAGCACATTTTCCATCTTTATGAATGTGAACTTGGTCTCCTGTAAGGCTTGTTGCAGAGATCTTATGAGTAAAACCAAGTATGAATCCCCACAGTTCCCATCTTGACTCCCTGTCTGGCAAGTAAAGAAATTCTGGATTGTGCTGGTTTGTCTAGCATAATTTTCAGTGAAGATTTTGTTGACTCTGACTGTGGATGCTCTTGTTTGGTGTCCTAGTGGACAATGATCCTATTGTTTGCTTTTCTGAGCATCCCAATACAAAGGTGACTGAGAGGTCAGATAATCAAAATTGTGATCTGGTTTGTTCTGTGGTGCTCATTTGTGGTGACACTGCTTTCTAAGGCTCATGTGAATTTTAGTTTTTCTGTGACTTTTTCAATTAATTTAATTGTCTTTTTAAAAAAATCTGGATGGAAATATTTCCCCAAGTCAGTGCTGGAGATCAGATTCTGTATCAGCTCAGTTCTGTTATGTTTTTTGATTCTGTTCTGACTCAGGCTCAGCTGTGTCTGATGTTATTCTATCTAAAGCAGTAAGAGTCCTGTACTTGATATGGTTACCCTGAATATGCTCCAAAATAAAACATTTGTGAATGGGATGGCTTACAGCAGGTGGGCTGCAGCATGAGGCTCCCCCTTCACTGAGTATGATCCCAGCTCCACTTCACATGTGTGCTGTTCCCTTTCCTGATTGTGGATTGTGGCTTCGCAGGGATCACCTGGAAGCACAAAGACATACACTGTCTCTTAGGAACTAAAAGGGCAGATGTGTTACCTGAGATCTCAGACCCAAGGAGCTCGGGTGGTGCTGTAGGGTGCTTCTTGAGATAATGGCATCCACTTCTACACCATGAGACAGAGTGAGGTGAGCACAGCAATTCTTCTCCCTTGCAGCAGCATAGCTAGTGCTTCCCCCACCAAAGAGGGTGCAAAAGTTCCTGTGCTAAAAACCACTTTCTGTGGTCTTCAGAGCAGCCCGGTAAAACCACAGGCAGCAGAAGTGGGTTTTCATGTTGAACATGCTGGTGTGAATCATTTACTTCCTTCCAGCTGGGACCCAAACTCCCCAGCCATGTCCCCAGAGCTCTGCACTATGTCAGTGCAACAGGCAAGAGGTTCCTGTTCATTCATTAAGGAGCAATTCACTCAAAATAGGAATAAATACTGAGTCTTACCCGGTAAAGGTAAGTAGGGCTCTTTAATACCACATTTATTTAGCTTTCATTTATTTAGCTTTCTTGGTATTTTATGAACAATAAAAGAGAATCAAAAGCAGTTGTTTGTATGCCTGAGTTTTCACTCTGCATTGCACTTAGATGTTAACATTCAGATCAGTTGGTAAAGGTCTTGACTTAATCAGTATGGGGTAGAGAAAGTAATGCTGTAGTTAATGCTCATGGAAATGGTCACTTGTCTGAAAGGAAAGTAGCTTGCCTTAACTTTTTACAAAATCACCTCTACCTAGGGGGTGCTGCTAAGTGTTCCTGCAGGGCAGCCCTCTGCCACAGCTGCGGTGCTGCATAGCAAGTCTGTAATGTTTTGAAAGTGCCCTTTAATGTTTGAACTGCCAGCAAGCCGGCCTTGTCTTTTCTAGTGTTGACATGTGGCTTCCAGACTTTAAAATCCAATACATGTGATGAAAATGCATGCGTGTTGAATTTAAACCATATTTTAATAATTTGGCCACCTGTACAATATCCTAATAATCTTAAAATAGAGAACTTGAGATCCTCTGTAAAATTATTTGTAGCAGATGTTAAATCTTTGGTGTATTCTACGCATTTACACACTGAGGGACAGATATTAAACATTACCCTTACAAAAATAACCCAAAACATATTTATTTCAAAGAATTAGAATGCAGGAAGTGGATGCAGGAAGCTTTATCCATTGTTGTGGTTTGTTTTAAAGGTGTGCTCAAAATGAGATGAAAAAAAGTTTGTCATTACTGCAGTTGGACAGAATTGAGTGTTTAAAAGATAAAAAGCCTTTTAATATTTTGTTTCAGCAACATTCTCAACTGTTAGTTTTCTAGCCCTATTCTGTTTGTTGGGTGGTTTTTTTTTTAGTACACTACAACTCTCTCTGACCTTAAAGACATAATAATGGGGCACTAAATCCTAAGTGTCAAACACATTCTCTGATGATTGAAAAATTACTGTTTTGGTCAGAACTTGAGAGACAGAATTGAAAAACTTGCTGGCAAGAGGCAAATGTTATATAGTCTGACATGACAAGGTAACAAATCTGTTTAGTAACAAAGTGAAGTACTGACTTTAAAGATAAAGATGATGTTGACAGGCAAACATGTATATGTTTGCATCTCCGTCAACGTATTTAGCTCCAAGTGTGCAAACTGGATCGGCTTTAGAAACCATGACGCTTTTAAAAATATGCATGTTTTGGGGTGGTTTTATTTGCTTCCTGAGGTTTTGAGTTTACCATATAAGTATGAGGGCTGGACTTTTCCTTCCTTTCTTTGTGCTGAAAGTTAAGGTTCTGGCAGAGTCATGTGTTTCCAGCAGCTAGGACTTTAGCAAAATCAGTAAATGTGTCTAACACAGCAATAAAGGGAGGTCAAGCCCCTGCCCAATACCTCAACTACTTTGTAGGAAATATAACCTCTAGCTTCTTCAGTTTAGGATAACTATTACTTTATACACTTACACCACCCTTCCATGCTCCCTTCTCCAGTTGTCTCTTTCGTCCACCTCCCACCTTACCCACTCTGTGCTAGCATCTTCCTCCCTCCCCTCCCGTCCTTGCATTTCAGATGTTTTCCAGCCTCAGTCATAGGGGCAACCTCTAGACTGTTACTCTGTGGGAAGACTCCCAGGCTTTCCTGTGGTGCTGCTGAGTTTATTTGTGCAGGCAGCACTGGTAGTAAGTGCAAATTCTGGAAAGAAAAAGTTGATGCAGGGCTGTTAAATGCAAAGAACAAATGCTGGATTGCCAGCGACTGGTAGGGCAGACCCAGGGGGTGTTGCTGCAGGCTTTCTTGCTGCATCTGCTCTTTCCTTCATCATCTGCCATGGGCTGATGTAAGACAGGGTGCTCACTGGGACCTTGCTTTGACCAGCTTCAGCTCCTTTCGTGTTCCAAATGGTGTGGAGCCAGAGGAGCAAGCAGTGGGCACCCCCTCTGAACTGGTGTGTTACAGTCACAGAAATGGTGTGGTGGTTGTCAGCTTAAGATCCCAACAGGGTTAGGAAAAAAGACTGACTTCAAATCAGTCAGACCACTGGTTGTAGGGGCTTGAGGTTTGCTTTTTTTTGTTCGAAGACAATTTGGCTATAACTTTTGGAAGAGCAGAGCATGCACAGGTTGGACTGGGTTGTCTCACCTGCTTCAACCTCAAGGAACTAATCCAGGAAGAGGAATGAAAAGGCAGGTACTCAGCCTTGGGCCAGAGTTGATGTGTTTTGCTTAAAGAGCAGAGTGGAATACTCTAGAGTCTGTTGATTAATTAAACTAGGAGTTTTGCTACATTTTCTGAGTTCACAGAGAAAGTAAGAGCATCAGGCAGTGAACTGTACTGACTAATGTGTTTAGGGGTTGCCACTGAAAATATGGTTTAGGGAATGAAAAGTATGAGTGCCACCTACTGCTGGGGCTCATAAAGATACATCTGGTTGGCTTTTCTTGCAGCAGGTGTAGTGTCAACCTGGCTGTGATCTCTCTATTTCTGGAGGAGAACAGATTATGGGTGTCACACAGGTAAAAAACATTTGCAACTGGAGACAGGGATGGGGCAAACTTTTCCTCTTTTATCATAAATTAGTGCAATACTTTTTTCATTATTAGAATAAAAATGCATTATCCTGTAGCTTTGTGGTGCATGAGGTGATGTTGAAATATTTAATAACCTGTTTTATCCTGAAATAAGCTAAAACTCATCCCAAAGGCTTATTTTTTTGTTCCAAATTATAGTGAATATAAACATACAGGTGTATATATGGACTTACATAATAACTTACAGACTTTTGACATGTAAACATTAATTTACAGTGACTGAAATTGTACTGCGAGGCCTTTGGACACTTACAGCTTCTGATCTTTTTCATTGTGATTGTTTTTTTTTTTTTTGAAGGTTGGTTTATTTAACCAGGTAGATCATCACAAGCAATGACTGAGATGTCTATTTTGATTTCTTGGCTATATAGTTTAGCATTAAAGATGCCGGTGAGGACTTGATGAATGGGAACTATAATGGCAACTGATGAGCTTCAAGTCCCTACTGTGCATAACCCTCTCCCCTCAGCTCCAGAGCACCAGCTAACCTACCTAAACAGCAGTTATGAAGAAAGAAAGAAAAAAAAAAAAAAGGA